CAATAATTGATCACAGTCCACACTTATGATCTCCAGTAGTTGCTTCTGTGTATGGAATTAACCTTGAGGGAAGAACATTGGATAAAATTTTGTGCATAGTTGATAATAATGATAGTCTTCAGATGGTTTATTGGTTGTAAGCTGTGGAGACCATTTAGCTGAGCAGATAATTAATTATGGGTGAACTGGAAGGTACTAAAGAGGAAGCAGTTGTAACCTGTTTCGGTGTCCTACCCCAGCATCCATCTGGAAGACCTAAGAAGAAAGAATGATGAACATTGCTGAAGATGGGCAGTGAACTGGCTGAGATTTGAATTTTATATTTCTCAGCACATTGCCACATGCACTGAACATCTCATTTCTCCATTTTCATTTCCAAGAAAGAATTGGTATCTAACTTACGTACATAGTGACAAATGAATTAGTTTTAGATATTTAGATATGTAAAATATTGCAGTACTGTTTTTATATTTATTGTAAGTACTTGCCAAAGGAATTGGGGCGTGAAGCTGACCACTCACATCCAGCTAGTGCTAAGGTCAAGAAAATATGGATCTATACGTCCACTCATGCATGCATCTTCATGGTGTAATGCGTAATTAGTTAAGCTCAGGGACAACTTTACCTTTATCTTATTTACCAAAGGAAACTAACTTCTGTTTGTTAAATTTAAAAGTTTATGTATTTATATAGTGAGGTGAATGGGAGATGAATATTGGTGCATAAATTATAAAGTTTCTCTGAACTCCATCTAAACTTTTTCTTTCCTGCTTGAATGCTTGTGACCCAAACATTTGAATTTATGGACACTTGATTCCTTTGTTGACTCATTTTCTCTTGAAGGTTGCTATCTTCTGGAATGTGATGCCATGTAGTCTGGTAGATAGCAGTGTTTCAAAAGACCCTGAAGATGGATCAGTATCTACTTCCTATATTCCAGACAACATGGGGGTCACATGCCAGAAGACAGTAATCTTCATAGTCACTTGAAGAAAGCAGTCTTCTGGGATTTTGCACCGTGTATATGTGGTGTTAACCGACGTTTCGGAGGAACGTATCGCCTCCATCTTCAGGGTAGAAGAAAAATATATAAGAGAGCTGCAAGCAAAGAGACCGTGAGAACCGGTAAAAGCAGTCTGCTTTCTTCATAGTCACCGCCGTGAAAGCCTCAAATCTTTCATAGTCACTTATTCATTCATTTGTCAGTAATCTGTCAGATGACAGGTCCACAGTCTCTTCCAAAACAGTTCCTCTACTTAATGCGATCTAGAGCTTTCTCCTTCAAATGAAAATATCCTCTTCTGTCCCCAAGGTCATCCAGCATCTTCTTACATCTTCCTCGTCTTCTGGTCACTTCTATCCGCCCCTCTCTCGCATACGTGGTATCTCTGTTTTTGGAAAGAGCCTGTCCAGGAAAAGTGATAATGTAGTTTTTCCATTTGCTTTCCACATCGCAGTACAACAGCCGTTCAAACCACTCTGGTCACGCCTGTTGCTATAGGAACTTGAACTTATATGAGAACTAAAATCTCACAGTCGTCGCTCTATCAATATTTTAAATTTTCTTGGCATGTTCTTCACTTCATTCATATTTCATATTATTTTTCATGTGATCTCCAGTTTATCAACTTGAACTTTTGTTATCCTGATCTTTATTTTGTTGACATTTTGCTGTTTATGGAATTTTATTGTTTAATAGAAAAGAAAATTACTACTACACCTCTCTTGGACTTTCTGAGACAGCGCAAAGCAGAGAGGCAGCGTTTGCGTGATGAGCGGAGGGAAGAACGAAGGAGGAAGGAACAAGAGCGAAAGAGGCTCAAGGATGCTGATAGAGACAGGCGTCGGGGAACCGGAAAGCCTGACACTGGTTCTTCTCGGGATATAACATCTGACTCGGTACTCAGGGTAATTATCTGCACTCGGTCTCTTATACTCAGATGCATGAAGGTTATTGTAATAGTGCTCCAGAACAATGCAATGTAGTGTATAGATGATATAGGTGAATTAGTTCACAGGGTAGGTACAAGGTACTGTTTTCTTTGGTGTGTGTCTGTCTTTTGTTGTTTCATTCATAATAAAAGGTAGCCTTATAATATCATGTCTGTTAGTTCATGTTTTTGTCCACCACTGGCACACTTTATTAGGATCATTTTTATGCAGAATGTAAAAGAACATGACTTCTGTATCTAGCTTTTAATTTGATGTGATAAGTAATGGACCATTCCAGTCAGGAATATTAAATTTGATATGAAGATAGATACAAAACATATTTTGAAAATGTATATAAAATATTTCCTTGTGTGTGTATTTTGAAGCTTAGGTACATAGCAGCAGTGTAAAACTTTGAGGTTGTATGTGACAAATTTATGATAAAGAGAATATATACTAGCAGAAGTTTTGCAGAAAAATAGAACATTATATTCTGTAAATACTCTATTAATGTGTAGTTTTAAGAATTCAAAAGGTAGTAGATATCACAAGTTCTTCCAAAACATCTTGTAATTAACATGGTCATAAAAGATTGTGTGTGTGTGTGTGTGTGTGGGGGGCGGGGATTGAGGTACCATATATACTGTGACATGACGGCAGAAAGCTGGAATAAGGGGGCCAAAGCCAGATGTCTGTTGTTGGGCAATGGATTGGAAATCACGTTCCTGTTACCACATGTAGCAGCAAAGTAGTCGTTACCAGGTAACAAGTGCTAAACACAAGATTCCTGTGACAACCAACAGGAAAGCAGAGGAACTGTTCAATATGGTGTCTTCTGTGTGGGCCATGAGGCATTTCTTAAAGGCAGTGGATTTGAAAAATTCAAAGAAAGTAGAAAAACCAAAGGAGGAGTAGAGAGATTCATCAGACAGATGTCATTCAAGGCAGTTGTAGAATGAGAAGCTGAATGAAGAGAAGTGTCGGTGGTCAAGATTGATTGTGAATTGTAATAATTGATTCTAACTGTAAAGAAGTGCCAGTAAACCCAATCATCAAATCCAGAACCTATAATTGCTAGTCACGCTAACCCCTAATATGTACATTTTGGTGCCAGATGTGGGATTATGTCTGTAAATTCATGATATTTTGGTGTCAGAATTGGTCAGATTTAATCGATTGGAACAAGTTATTGGATTTAAGATTGCAACAAGTAGTTATATCACCATGGAAATGGATATGGCCAACATGGAACTCCTGCAAGCCATTGAAGAAATGCTGGCAGAAATGAAATCCATGCGAGAAAACGTAAAAGCAGACAACAACCGAGAAGAAAGGAAGGCAGAAATGGAAGTCCACTAATAAGAATTGAGGGCCATCATGAAGTCCATCAAGAGGAGATGATGGCCATATTCATAGCTGATCGAGGAGAGGTGAAGGCCTATCCAGAAAAGTTGGAGGCCAGTCCATAAGAAAGAGTTTTGAGGTGGAGCATGAAAAGTTCCCTGAGGAGCACATGGCAGTGGAAACTGGAAGAACACCAAAGAAGAGGCATAGGGGCCGAAATCTGGCTGCAAAGTGCTGCCAGAAGCCAGAGGAATGGACTCAGGTAAATTGTAGATCCTGGAGGAAATCAGTCACTGCTGGCATGAAGATGACCCACTGTGGAAAAGTGGCACAGCACAAGGGAAATATCAGGAAAAATTGGACCAGGAATAAGGTGGTACGAGGAACATTTAAAGAACAGACGCTTTGGAGGAGACAACAGGCGCAACAGGAATGTAACAAAAGAATGAGGAACCGAGACCTAAAGGAACTATGACTAGAAAGCATAGGAAATGTTAATGAGACTTTCAGGAAGACCAGGGGACTGGAAATTGTTAAGCGAATTTCCATATCTTCTGTTGGGTTGCAAAAGATCAAGGATTGGACCTCGTTGAGGGGGTCTGCCCCCTCCGAAACAGAAGATGAACCTACTAGCAATGTTACTGAGGAGGAGCTGGAATTGTGGGAGCACCATTCTGGATAGTTTGGCCTACCACAATTGGAACAAAAGAGGACAGAAAAAGGTTGATGTTTGTACACCTGGACTGACTGGAACCTCATAAAGGAGTTGCTTAGGACAAGCAATCTTAAGGACAGAGCGGTGGTGGCGGTAGGAGAGTGGTCACCACTGGAAAGACCAAGCCACAAGAAGACATCACAAGCAGAAACCTTGCTAAAGGAGGAATAGTGATACACTGTTAGGCTAGTCAGGATGAACCGCCTTAAGGAGGGAGCAGTGTGACATGATGGCTGAAAGCCATAATAGTGGAGCCAGAGCCTGATGTCCATTGTTGAGCAATGGATCAGAAATCACATTCCTGTTACAACGTATAGCAGCGAACTAGTCGTTACCAGGTAACAAGTGCTGAACACAAGATTCCTATGACAACCAACAGGACAACAGAGGAACTGTTCAGCGTGGTGTCTTCTATGTGGGCTGTGAGGCATTTATTAAAGGCAGTGGAAACTGTCAAAGATCATCATCCTACTTCAGTACAGTGCTTATCAACATATTGCAATATTGGCTGCAGTGGTCTGGGAAATCATGAACTGCCTTCCTTGCAGCACTGACTTAGCTCCCAGTGATCTTAATTTTTTGGATCAATGAAGGTGTGCCTAGGAGGACAGAATTTTCAAACTTATGATAAAATTAAACACAGTATCCTGAACTGTCTACGCAGTCAGAATAAAACCTTGTATGCTGCTGATGCCAGTAACTTGCCAGAACAATTTTAAAAATGAGTCAGTATAAAGGGAGAATATTATGAGAGGGAGTGAGAGTTTGGAAATTATGGTGCATATATTCTTTTTGTGAAAAAATAAATTCCAAGTGAACCTCAAGCCACCATATTATTTTCACACATTTTTAAATGCAGCTCCGGTCTAGAAACCGAAATTAACAGCTGTGGGGATTCGTTGCACTGACCACGCAACACCTTCTATCCATTAAAATTGGCACTAACTCTGCCGACAAGCGACAGTCTCTCAGTCGGTATAGTTCGCTTGCGGACTAAAACCACGGAGTTTGTTTGTTTTGTTTGCTTTTTTTCAGAAGAGAGGAAAGACAAAGGCATGCAGAAGATTCTGAATTGAATGAAGCTACAATTAATATGTTGTTGGACATTATCCATCATCTTGTCTATTCTTAAAAAGACTGCCCTGTTTCTTTTAAAAAACACAGCATTTCAGGGACTGGATTTGGCCCCCGTCCTCAGGTACAACCTACTCAGTTGGGTCCAATAGACAGGGCTAGCCCCTATCTCTGGACCTAGGGACAGAAACAGGACAGTATTTTTAAGAATAGACAAGATGATGGATAATGTCCAACAACATATTAATTGTAACAATTTACCATAGTTACATACTTTTAGATCTTATTTGAATGAAGCTAGTTCTGAACTCAGATCTTTGGGAAAGAAATAGTACCTTATGTGAAGTCCACTGTGTCTCCATTTTATATTATTTAGACATAGTGATTCGTTCACTTGTTGATAAATAATTTTAACTCTCTTCTCTTTCTCCATCTTTTAAATAGTCTCACTTTATCTCATTAACCCTTTTCACCGAATGAAGTGCAGATAGTGGGTGTCTTGTCATTGTCCATAGTCTTCAAGTGAGTTGACCATTTTTCTCTTTGATCTTCTGTTCTTCCATTTAGTGAACAGACACATAACTCGTGTATATTTTTGTGTTTAATTGTGTCTAACCTAATTTATCCATTTACACTTCACAACTTTTAGATTTCCAGAAGGCTAGTTGTACCTTTGTTTGGAGTTACCTCTGCACTGGCCCCTGCTGCCTCAAGGGGGAAGTCATATGAATACAGTGTATTTAGGATAAATAGCTTCTCTTTGTATAAGACCATTGTGCATTATAAAGAATAGCCATCTTGAGATGACACATTTTATATACAGGTAAAATGCAGCATATTTAGACATAAATTGTTGATACAGGTTCTTGCCCTCATTGGCGAGGTGTGTGATCACTGGTAAGAACTCATTGGCCAGTGGTGCATGAAATCCACATTAATACTGAAGGCAGTAAGAAAAATGTTTCTTTACCTAAACCTAGCAAAAAAAAAAAAAAAGGAAAGGTATCCCTGTAACAGGCTGTGGAGGCCCAGAGGGTTGTGAGATGTTGAGGTGTCTACATTTTCTAGACAGTCGGCTCATAGATGGCAGTAAGCTTATCAGCCTTACGCACCGGCTGCCCTTTACCCCCAAGAACATTCCAAGAATATTCCTGGTACTCATTTCTGTTAGAGGGTGAGTCAACCCCAGGGCCATAGTGTGGCTGGAAGGATTAGGTAAATTGAAAAAAAATCAGTGACCTCATTGGGATATGATCCCGTGACCTTCCAGCTTGTAGCATAGTGCCTTAACCAACTACACTACCGCATGCCCCACCTAAACCTAGCGTAAGTGGTAATTCTCTCTGTGGGGTCAATTCACGGGCAGTTGTGCTAGGAAACTTTGAGGCATCCTACACCCCACCTCATGCAAACCATATGAAGAAACTCATTTCATAGACACAAAGAAGCAGCTGGATATTCTCTGCTTAACAGTAGAAATTACTTTTGCCTCTGTGTCTTGTATTCTGTACATGGTAGGTCTTACGTAACCCTGAGCATGAGAAAGAGGTGAAGGATGACAATAACAGAGGGGGAGGAATGAAGGAAAGCAGAGATAAATCACAGCAGCTAGGGACCAAGAAGAGGGAAGATGACCGGCAGCGTAACAACAGAGATAAGGAACGTGAACGGAAAGAAAAACAGTTTCAAGAGAGTAGGTGAGTAGCACAGCACTAAAAAACTAGGGTTACATCTATATAAAATAATTTTACCAAAAGTTTTGTGTGGTTGAGAATCCTCACTGCCTCTGAAAGATGAATGTAAATTTCAGGTACATGAAAACAATGCTGAGAAAAAAGAAATTATTTATTATGGTTGAAGTAAGTAGGCACTTCAGGATAGTACATATTAAGGAACTTAACGATTTATACAGGTTATCTGGTATTTTAAGTGTAGTGAAGTCTGTGAGGCTGCAATGGGCTTGACTGTTGGCTTTTATGGGGGAAATAAGACGTGTATTGTTTACAGAATTTTTGAGGGGATACCTGTTGGAAAGTGATGATTTAGAGCATTGGAAAGGAGGTGGAAGAATAATATCAGAACGAATCTTATGGATGTAATTGTTAGGATCCAAATTGGATTGTACTGGCTCAGAGCATGGTCCATATGTGGCATTTTATGATATGTTAATAAACCTTCAGGTTCTAGAATATCATTGAATCTCTTCACCACTGAATGATAATAGTACCTTATGTAACAATTGTAACACCACAAGGTCCTGAATCATTAATGATATGTCATATTTCTATTTAATCACAGTTGTGTATTTGATTTTATTGTAAGCTTATTTTATTGGCAGGTATAAGCTGATGCAAAAATGCCACAGTTTTTTAAGTAACATAATTTTAATACAGATCTGATATAATGTAATTTTACCTCAATTTAGAATGTATGATATTTTAAATTAAGTACAAAGTACAAGAATAAAGCTATCCCTGTAATGGGTTGTGGAGGCCTACAGGGTTTTGAGACATCGAGGCTCCTACATTTTGTAGACAATCAGCTCACAGATGCCAGTGAGGTTGTCAGCCTTACATACCAGCTGCTCTTTATCCCCAGGAAGATACCTGGTACTCATTTCTATTAAAGGCTGAGTCAACCCCAGGGCCATTAGTGCACCTGCAAAGATTATGTTAATTAAGAAATCCAGTGACCTCATTGGAAATTGAACCTGCAACCTTCTCGCTTGGTGCATAGTGCCTCAAACATATTGTTATTAGGACTAATGTTTATCATTATTTGGAACAGTTATTATCTCATTGTCAGATGTTACTTATGATTTTGGTGTCAATTTGTTTTTGGTTACTGCAGTTCCACTGTAACACCAATGCACTGAAGTGACTTGTTGTTTTTGCTACATTGCACTCAGCTCTCTTGCAGCACTGCCTACTCCACATCTATTTCTTCCCACACATCCATGTTGTGCTGCCTCTTTAAGTGGAATATTTAGTTTGGTTCAAAAAATACAGTCTATCTGTTAATGTTATATGAGTAGTAGCACAGACAGTTAGATGCAGACAACTTTGGAGGTTTCAGTTCAGTCCCAGGTCAGTTCTTTTGGGTTTGTGGTGACAGTGAAGCCGAGGTTCTTCTTTCACTCTAGTTTTCTCCTGAAAGTTGCCATTTTCTCAATACTCTGTGGTCATATGTTACACCTTTGACTGATGTGTTGGGTATAGTAAAAATAATCAAATTAAAGTTTGGGCTTCTCAGCATTTTGCCAAACTGAGAATAAAGAAATTTAATTATATGAATACTAATTCCCATAACATGTTTTATAATTTGCTATATATAATGTGTTTCATGTTTTCTCCCCCAAATTTATTTTTCAGGCAAAGGGAGAATAAAGGACAGAATAGTGTCAAGAGCTACCGAGATGATCGGCAAAAACAGATGGAAATAAGAGCACAGCGGAAACTACCTGATGATCAGCGTAGGAAAACAAGTTTTGAACGTGTGCAGGGACACGTAAAAATAACTGACTCTCACCAGAGCCATGAACCAGAGAAGGGACAAGGCCCTTCCAAGATGTCTGATACCAGACGAAGCCAAGAATTCGACCGTGGTCCAACCAAATTATCTGACATCCGTCGAAGTCAAGAATTTGAGCGTAACCTGGGATCCTCCAAGACTAGTGACTTACATAAAAGTCAAGAGTATGATCGTCAGACACATTCCAGTAGAGATATAGAACACAGGAAGCATTATCAATCTAGTGACCAACGAAAAGTACCAAATGAAAGGTTTCAGAGCCATGCCAAGGATAGTGAAAAACAAAACAAAGAAAGTGAACACAGAAAAAGCTACAGGGACTCAGATTTCAAAAGAAACCAAGGTTACAGTAAAGATATAGACCAGAAGAGAAATTCCTATAACATAAGAACAACTCGATGTTATAATGAAACTGAATCCAAGAAAACCTCTTCAGATCACAGGATTCATTTTAAAGAAGGTAATCCAAAGAGTATCAAAGAGTCAGTGGGGGAAAATATGAAAGGAGAAAAGGAGGATGAGTCTAAGAAATGGGAACAAATGGGTGCAAAGCCAAAAAAGGTAATTTCACTGGATGCAACAAATAAACCAGAATCAAAGGTAGATAAAATGAAAGAACAGTCATTGAAGCCTGAGAATCCAGTAAAGAAAGAGCAAAATGTAGGGAATTCTTTAGAATCTGATGTCCAAGAGGATGATCGAGAAAATAATATTGTTGAAGAGAAACAAGAATCTGGAGAAGGAGGGATGAAAAATGATTCAGAGAAACAACCAAAACAAAAGAACTCTTCAGAATCAGAAAGCCCCGAGCTCAGTTATCAGTCTGTCACTGAAAATGTGAGTAAGGACAAGCAGGATTCTTTGAAGTCGGAAAAGCAAGACTTGGCAGAACCTGAAGATATGCACAAGACTGAAGTCCAAGTTGAGCCTAAAGAAAATGTAAAACCATGTACTGAGCACAAATATGGAGCAAAGCTATGCAGGCGGAGGGGTTCCCTTGATTCTAGTGATCATGAAAGTGAGATTCAAGGACGCAAAGGCATGAGCAGAAGTGCCACAGGTAGCGACTGGAGTATGGACTCAAAACTGAAACGCAACCACTCTCTGGACCTAGAAGGGAATCACTGGGTCATGGATGCAATGCAAGGTGAAGGCATATTGAAAAGTTCTACAGTATCAGAGAAAAGTACAAGAGAGGTGAGAAAAGGTGGAAACAGTGATGAGAAGGAGAGATCCACAGATGCTTCTAATAATGGGACTGATGGAGAACACAAGAGGGACCCAAGAGTCGAAAGGAGAATTCGAAATAAGGTAATTCAGATAATGTGGTTAACATTTCTCTGGTAACTTGAACTACAGTATTCATTTAAGATATCCAGAGCTATATTTCAGCCTAGCAGTAAACATCACTACAGAATCAATAGACATCATTGCTTGAATTGTAAAGTTCATGCCAAATAACTTTGCCAAAATACAAGAGATATAACATGAACCACTGGTGATGTAATGCCACTGCCACTTTTTTCATACTCAGCCACCAAGTTACATAATTTCTGTGTTGTCAGTATGTTTTGAACATCAGTGCTGACTGGAATACCAACAAGGTACAGATTCAAAATAACATCATGAGAAATTGTAATGTAATAACTGTGTGATATCTTGCAGTTATATCCCAAATATTTCTATTTTCCTGTTATGAAGAATGCTTTAACAGCTGGTAGCTTAAAACACATACTGTATCTTCTTTTTGCGCAGTTATTTCAACTGGCACATGCATATATTCTTGCATTAATATGTACTAGACTAGACAAAATGGTTGTGCAAGAGGAATGCCATTTTTATGAGACTGATTTGCCCATATGTTTTTTAGCCTTTTTGATGACATGGCACTCAACCTAAATGTTTAAAAGTTTCCTTCCCACCTTGCATGTAGGTTAATATATGTACTCAGAGGTTTTGTATTTATTTGAACATAAGATCTCCTTCACGGTAGGAAATTTAAAGAACTGTTTATTACTTGTCCAGATAATTCCTACATTACACAGATATTTGTTTTCTTCATAATGGATCATTTTAGGTATATTGTGAATGATTTCCTGCAAAATATTTTGGCTAGTAATTATTTGTTCTCAGTGCCAAATACTTATTACTTAATATGGCACAGTTTTGGGTCTTCTATGGTCAGTTTCCTAAGTAAAAGTAAAACTGAAAAAAGTAAAAGCTATCCCTGTAACAGGCCGTGAAGGCCCATAGGGTTGTGAGACATTCAGGGTCCCACATTCTCTAGATGATTGGCTCAAAGATGGCAGTAAGGTTGTCAGCCTTATGTGCTAGCCGCGCTTTACTCCCCAGGAAAATTATATAATTAATTCGTGGTACTCATTTCTGTTAGAGGCTGAGTTGACCCCCAGGGCCATAGCGCATCTGGAAGGATTAGGTCAATTGAAAAAATCCAATGATCTCATTGGGACTTGGACTCGCAACTTTCCAATTTCTAGCATAGTGCCTCAACCAACTACGCTACTGCATTCCTAAGTACCACATGAAAATTTCATTACAAGATTTCAATACAAAAGTGGGGAGAGAAGATAGTTATCAGCTGTTATATAGCTCTCACATTAAGTAGTGTTACAGATGTGAAGCCATGATTGGATGATCAGAGGAGTAAGGATGCTAACCTATTGGGAATGACCTTGTGGTTACTGAAAAGGTGTGTTAAAAAATATTTGGGTCTCCTGGTGATCTGGAAGGGGTGAAAAATGTTTCAGCAACCTTATGTTTAGTACAAGAGGTAATTTAAGATTTTTCTTTTTCTTGTGCAGATAGGAAGGAATATAATTAGAATGATCAAGTCAAGGAGGATGAGATGGGCAGGTCATATAGCATGAATGGGGGAGATGAGGAATGTGTATAGGATATTGGTGGGAAAGTCAGAAGGAAAGAGACCACAGGGAAGACCAAGGCATAGGTGGGTGGACAATATTAGAAGGATCTTAGAGAGATAGGATGGGATGGTATGGATTGGATAGATCTGGCTCAGGATAGGGACCAGTGGAGGGCTCTTGTGAACACGGTAATGACCTTCGGGTTCCATAAAATGCTGGGAAATTCTTGAGTAGCTGCAGAATTTGTGGCTCCTCCAGAAGGGCTCAGCTCCATAAGTAAGTAAGTAAGTAAGTAAGTAAGTTGTGCAGATAGGAAAAGGAATTCAGTGGTTACTGGATGAAGGTGGTTGACTATTTGGTTTGGAGGGGAAGAGGTGAAATCAGTCTTTGCTTCATCTGTATCAGTCTTCATGGATTAAATTTATGAGGATGTTTTATTTTGATTTCAGGACCCTGATGCAGCAATTAGTTACTTTTATTATTTAAAATTTTGTTTTTTGCTGCAACTTTTGTTTACAGCCTTCATCCATCAACCATCAGCCACTCGTGAGACAAAAAATGCAAATAGATAATACCAGTACAAGGTCACCGCCCTTTACCCCCAGGAAGATTTACTTTCTTTTCACTATAAACTTAGAGTCTGATAGAGAAGTAGAAAGAAACTTTAGTATATAATACAATATTGGAGGCTGCAGTGTTGGTATTACTGATTGGAGTGATCTATACTGTCCACTGTTGACACGGCCCCAGGTGGCATGATCTGCGTACCATGTTTTAGAAAGATTGGTTCTGACATTCAGGTAATATTAATTGACAATTTGGGAGGTTATAATGTTGGTACTACTAATGACAGCAATATCTTAAGTACCCTGTTGATACAGCCTCAGGTGGCATGATATACATATCAGTTCTCATTGTGATCAGTTGAAGCATTTGAGTAATATTAGGGATATTATGAGGGACAGTCAAATGAAAATGGATCAGAAACCAAAACATATTAAAGAACATTTCTTACCTCAAAAGTAATCTCCAAAACTGTTAATACATTTACCTCACTGGGAGATAAGACGGTCAGTCCTATCCTTGAAAAAGTTTGTGGGCTGTCTACGGAACCACATCTTTACCCAGCCACACACGTCTTCGTCCGATGCAAACCGATGTCCACGAATGTCTCTCTTCAGGTCTCCAAAAATGTGAAAATCACATGGGGACAGATCTGGGCTGTAGGGGAGATGTTGAAGCACTTCCCAACCAAATCTCTGTAGCGTATTCCTCACAGAGTTGGCAATGTGGGGGCGCGCATTATCGTGAAGAAGGATAATGCCATTGGATAGCATTCCAGGGCGTTTTGACTTTATGGCATGTCTCAGTTTCTGCAAAGTGTCTTCATAGCGCTGTGCACTGATTGTGGCCCCATGCTCGAGAAATTCGACAAGCAGAGGGCCCTTGCAGTCAAAAAAGAACGTCATCATCACTTAACTGGAACTCGTGTATACGGCTTTGGATTTCTTCGGTGGGGGAGAATTAATGGGTTTCCACTGTTGGCTCTGCTGTTTGCTCTCGGGTTCAAAATGGTGACACCAGTTTCATCCCCAGTGGCAGTACAGGACAGAAAAGCATACTCTTCCTCATGGTATCGTTGCAAGTGACCCAGTGATTCAGCCATTCTCTGAGGCTTCTTTTCCTCCCTGAGTAGATGTGGAACCACTACGCGCAGATTTTGCGGTACAGCAGGTGTTTTGTCACAATGGCATGTACAGAACCGTGACTTATTCCCATCAAAAGACTAATTTCTTCCACAGTGATTCGTTGGTTTGCCTGGATATGATCATCCAACGCAGCAATAACATCAGGAGTGATGACATGATGAGTCTGTTCTGAGCGAGCATCATCTTGCAGCGACACACGTCCCTCTCGGAATCTCTTATGCCATGCCAGCACACGCGAACGTGACATGCTGTGTTCGCCTTAAACAACAGACATGCGACGATGAATTTCTTGTCCTCCTACTCCTTCAGCAGTCAATAAACACACTACACTTTGCTGTTCTTCTTTACCTGCCTCCATTACTAATGTTGGACAACCACACATAGCGCTAAACTTACTTCCAGCACAATAAACAAATGACTGGTGTGCAAGGGCACGTTGTCACTGTGCTTTCCCGAGTCCCCACCAGATGTTCGTACTGTAAGCAAATTCCAGTGTTACCAACTTGCACACTGTGTGAGTTATGCATGGTAACCTGTTTTCATTTGACTGCCCCTTATACATCAACAGTTTGGTATTACTGATGGAAGGGATTTATGAAGTGTACTGTTGAAATAGGCTCAGGTGGCATGACATACATACCAAGTTCCATGGCAGTCAGTTCAGACATTTAAGTAACATTACAGTTATTAGTGCAACAGTTTGAAAGGCTCTAATGTTAGTATTACCAATCGAAGTGAATTGTGGAGTCTGCAGTTGAGATGGCTTCATGTGACATGATATACATACCAAGTTTCATGAAGATTGGTTCAGACATTCAAAAATTAATAAGGTGGGATACACATACAGACAGAAAGGTGATTTCATAAGACTCCTTTTATTCTTTCAAAATAAGGAAAGTAGGCTAAAAATTGACAGTTCTCCACTTGGTCCAGAAATTGTTCCCTCTTTTATGGAACCTGAAGATCCATTACTGTGTTCACTAGAGCATGCCACTAGACCCTATCCTGAGGCAATCCGATTGAGTCCCCATCCAATTTAATTAAGTTTAATTTTAATAGAGGGAGGTTATGTGTAAGCCTGCAGCAAGTCATTCAACCCATCTGGTAGGAGACATGCCCACTCACTTAAGGCTTTTTAAGGAGAATGTTACACTTTGCACCAATTTCATCCAGTTTCTCTTCACTGAGCATTGATTAAGTTCTTTCATCTTCTTTCTTTCTTTCTTCCTTCCTTTCTTTTGCTCCCCCCTAGTATTGACCACTCTGTTTAAATGTATTTACAATTGTATGGATAGTTTTGTGGGGGATGGAGTTTGTGCTGAAAAATGTGTATTTCCCACTTGGAAATTTTACATGAGCACTTGTCTTAGTGTGCAACTCTGATGTCCCATTTCAGTACAAGAAGTAACATGAATCATTGAACGTTTAATATAGTAGCAATGGGTTAGAATTGGTCAAGACATAAGCTGTCTTCATGGTAGCTATTCAAAGATTTATTGGTGTAACATTTAAGAGAAATTGTAACTTATATAGGCTATTAGCTAGTTTACTGTGGCACAAGTACAAATGTTCATAATGTAAGTCGTGCAGGTTGGCATGAGTCTTGCAAGTTGGTGTGAGTTGTATAATTTGGCAAGGATTATGTGAGTAGTGTGTGTCCCTCCTGCCAGGTGACCAAACGATTTATGGCACAATGTCAGATAATCTCTATGTATTCTTCCCTCTGAACCTAAATCTTCCAAATGATCTCTCTTCATATGCATGTTTTTATCATACCCATGCATGCTGCTTCCCCCATCCATCTCATTATTCTTAATATGATCACCCTAATTATATTTCATGAACAGTATTACTTATGAAGCTCCCTGTTATGTAATATTTAACACCATTCTCTTACTTCACGTCTCTTAGGTCATAACATTCTCAGCACTTTGTCAAATACGCTCAGTCCATGTGCTTCCCATCAAGATAGAAAACAGTATCTTTTAATATAGTCTGTGGAATCATATAGTAAATATTGTTGTGTAATATTTATAGGATCGTCCAAGCATAGAGATATATCGACCCGGCATGGGTCGATTTAGCCTTCAGCGAAAGGAACGTGAAAGGGGTTCAGGTTCTGCACCAGGGACAGCAGGCAGCAGTATGGAACAGGAATCTCCTTCATCCAGTCCCTCACCCACCCCAACAAACACTACTCGAACAGCAGCATCTACTAAAATTTCCAAAGTTGGAAATGAATTACGTTCCATGACTTTCAAACGCAGCGTAAGTCGTGAGAAATAAAATCTGGAGTCAGAGAAGCAATCCAACTGCCAGATTCGTTTATCAGCTCTTCAGCCAGTAAAAGCAAGAAAACTACATGGAAGAGTAAAAAAATTCGTGAAATTCAGGCACAATTTTTAGTAAATAGGATACGCAGAAACAGTCATACACAGTGGATATTTTAAAGAGCATTGTCTCAATAAACCACATTGAGGCCTACAAGAGCTTCCACTGCTAATTTTCCTAGTTTGAAAAAGAATGTTAATGTTCACCTGTTGCTGAAACTGAGATATTGCAACTTGCTCCACATATAGCATGCAGTGCACTGCAGTGCACTCAACCCCCCCCCCCCNTTTAAGCGGCAGACAGTTGTCTTGATGTGCCTAAATTGTGGGGACTTCTTGATCCTTCCTGGTATAATGCTTGTTACTGTATCTTGGTTCCAATTCACTATTATGAATGTAAGAAATGGGCTATTAAATCCCTTTTGTGAAGCAGTGTATGTACAACAATTTTAGAACTTCAGGTGTTGACTGTACTTAACGTTTACAACTGTTTCTTTTACATGTAGATTCTTAGGACATTCATTTTGTATTAATTTGAAATTTACAATATCTTGATATTTGCGGAAGAGAAAACAAACATTCTGTGATTAACGTGTGAACTGAAGAAGCTGAGAAATGTTAATGTATGTCTTGTCATCAAGTTAATGGCATTTATATTACTTTATTTCATTTCATCTGTATATGCCTTTACAAAATGCTGCTTAGGCATACAGTCTCCTTGATTTACACAAGCGAAAGTAAGGACACAGATTAAGGACAAAGAAATCATTCTTGCTATAAAACTGTGTTTGATATGATACTGAATTGTGTGTTGTATAAAATATGAATTATATGTCAATTTTAATTTTTTTAATAAAAGGTATTCAGAAATTTGATAAATTCAAAATCCTTCATCCTTACTAGTCAGTATGGAAAACTTGGTACTTCATGCTGTTTGTTTGCAGGTGTGAGAAGGGAGGGTTTACTCCACACTGCACGGAAGTTGCAAAGGAATTGGTCCACTGATGGTCTTCTATAGTTGTAGAGTCCATACAAGTAGAGAATTTCCTGATGTGCCAAATAACAGTGCCTGTGTACCATGGCGTTACAAACTGGCAAATCCTTTAATATTTGAATATTTGTCAGTGGGTTTGGACGTGGTGCACAGCGTGAGATAAGAATGTTCTCCATTTCATTGTAATTGGTAGGCAAATGGTAAGACAGTCAGAGATACTGTAGCTGATTGAATTGTGAGTGAACTGGAGCGACTATGTAGGTGTACATATCCAAAATACAATTGTCAAACAGTTTTAGTTGAAAAGAAGGCTGATAGCAATTCTATTTATTTAATATTGTACCTGGAGAAAGAAATAGGAAATACATATGCAGATGATGAGATATTTTGATGCGACCATCTGAAGGAGTTAATGCAGTTGAAAAATAAAGTATTAAATGCTGAATTAGAAAACTACCAAATGTTAAATACGTGGGAGAGGATGGTGTACAGACAAGTGACTGGGCAAGGAGTGGAGAATCAGAACCATCGCCATTTTTCTAGAAACGTTTGCTAGTTCCCATGCCAAGATTCAACCCCATGGTTTAAACACAGTGCATTATATGTGTGATTTTTGATGATGAGTATGGTATTTTGATTTGTAAAGTGAACAAAGAAAGTGCCATGAATGCGGCAAATGGCTGAAAAATGATAGCACCTTGTGATCTCACATGAAGGGCCATAGCACTCAGCTGTTCTCATGTCCCCACTGTAATAAGGTGTACAGTTTTCCACAGAGTCTGCGTGCCCACATGCAGAGTCACATTAGTACACATTTGTATAAGTGTCCTGTGTGTGAGAAAACCTTCAAACTGAAGAAGGGACTGAAGGTAAGATCATACCACCATCAGTAATTCTTAATTCATATATATATATATATATATATACATACACAGGGTGTCCCAGAAGGAATGTGCCAGACTTCGGAAGGGTGTTCCTTATGTTAAAGTATGCCGATATAACCGAAAACACCTATGTTCAAAGTTGAATGGCCAGAGAAGTGTGAAACTTTGACAGGTGTTACACACTTGTTGATTACCAAATACATATTAAAACTGGCAGAAATATGTGGTTTCTGTAATGTTAATAATGTACGTAACATCAAACTAACCTGTGAGTGACATGAAGCCATTAAATTGAACTACAGAAAAAAAAAAAAAAACTCGCACACCATGTCATAGTTGTCCTTAGGGTTCCAAGCACTATACATGACACATGAATGGCATGCACTGACGTAACATGGCTGACTGCGCATTGTGGTATAAGCTTAAGCTTATGGCTAGTGTGAGCTGTCATCACCACACTCAAGGAGAAACATAGATAAGACTTGTCAGCTGACAGGTACAGTACGTGGACCCACCAGAAGACCACACATTTCTCGGGCCATTATCTCTGTAAACGTTCAACTTTGGACGTAAGTATTTTGGGTTATATCGGCATGCTATAACATAACGAACACCCTCCTGAAGTCTGGCACATACCTCCCGGTACACCGTGTATATATATATATATCCAAATCCATCTTTTCTTTCTTTTCCACTTCTTCAGATATGGTGCTATGCTGAGTTAACTCCATGGCATGTTGCTTTTGCATAGTGGTGGTTCTTGGACTTCAAATTTTGGATATGATACTGTGTAAATTTTTAGTGTTTTCCAAAGAAATCAGTTTTCAGTACAGAGAAGATTTTTTAATTTAAATGATGTTGATATGCCTGCATGCCATTGACAGTACAAACATGCCTATAGCAACAGTGACCTTCAGTAAATGTTGCTGGAATGCTGTGTGGTAATAAATCTTTGAGAAATATTCAGTTGTTGTGAGGATAATTTTTAGGAAAATGGTGATTGCATAAAATATTTTGATTTGATGACAATATGTAATGAATCATTCTGACTTGAAATGTAATGTGATCATACAAATGCTTTCCATAAATCTTATTTAAAATATGTTTTGTGCCAGTACTTGCTGTAATGTACTTGGTATAAATAGTAAAATCCTGATAAAATGACACAGGTTTGAGTTTGAATGCACTGTCAGTCTTCATCTTGGGAGTGATTGCTCTTAGAAAAAGAACCTTTTGGATAAAAAATAATGCTGTGGAATAAATTAGAAGTTCAAGAAATGTTATAGCGTTTGGGCCTCTTACTTTGGACGCCAGTTAACAAATGTTTTTTTCTAGTTGACAATGTGCCTGTTCTAGCATCAAAGTCCTCTTTTTAGCACCTCTATAATTTCATGTTAACCTCAGCTAAATAGTGTCTACAACATCTTTTAAGGGCATGTCATCTTAGATCTTTGTGACATCATTAGAATGTTACTAGATTCTATTTTCAGAATATTACGGGAACTAAAATCACCAAGCCAGATATCTGAAAGGTACAGGACTTTTCTTGCATGTTACCTATGAATATACGATTTACCCTCAAAAACGATATAGTCATGCAGTATCTTTGGTTACCCTTTCTGTCCACGTGGCCTTTCACATTTTCCTGTATGTAGTAATCACTACAGTTGTAATGTTGCCCTTCAGTTTCTTACTTGCTCTGGATTTTTAACCCTGTATTAGTGTCATTGGTTCTAATTTCTGCAGTTTCCATACTTCAGTCTCTTTTACCCCATGTGTGACTGTCACTGCTGTATTTTATCACTGGTTTAGCTAGGGTTTTACGTAATAAGAAACCTGGGCTTCTGAACATTATTAGAGTGGTGTGTACAAATTAAATGTACTATAGCTTTCATTTTCCAGTTCTTATGATTTTGGTTTATTAGCCCTTCTAAATATTGAAATTCATGAATTCTGTTGGTTTTATAGCCAGGAATTATCATAATTCTTATTGTTTTCCTTTAAAAACACTTACCTCTGTTTTATTAATAGATACTTACAGTACTTCGCCGACAAGCGGTGGACGCTCGGTCGGTATAGTTCTCTTGTGAACTACAGGCCACGGAGAACTTACATTACTAACTTCTTGGAACTGATCCCTTCTTGAGAAACCGCCACTTGTGCGGTTTCTTTATTGTTAGTGGGGTGGGACTAAGTCCCTTGTACTGCGGCCACTTCTGGCCTATTGTACCAGCCCCAGGTGATAAGTGAGGGTGATTGTGGAGCAATTGGTGGAATGAAGATTGGCAGGGGAAACTGAAGTACTCGGAGAAAATATGCCCCAGCACCAGTTTGTCCACCACAAATCCCACTTGACCAGACCCGGAATCGAACACAGGCTGCCACTATGGGAAACCAATGACTAACCGCTTGAGTTATGGCACAGCCAGTTGTGCAGTTACTGAATAACTTCCAAACATTTTATGGAACTCGAAGGTTCATTATATGTTTGTAGGAGTCCTCCACTGGTCCCTAGTGTGAGCCAGATCAAACAGGTTCACAACACCCCATCCAGTCTGTGTCAAATCCATATTAATATTATCCTTCCCTTGATGCCTAGATCTTCCTAGTGGTCTCTCTTCTTTTGGCTATAATGCCAAGATGTTATATGCATTCATATTTTCCCCACATGCATGCTACTTTCCCTGCCCACTAAGTTAAATAAATAAAGATTATGGCCAGTAACAGTGAAATGTAATCAGTATCACTTTTGGGCTATATTTTGCAGGCTCATGCAGTACAACATACGGGTGAGAGGTCTTACCAGTGCCGACACTGCCCCCGAATGTTTGCAACCAACAGCAACTGTCATTCCCACAAGAAGAGAATGCATGCCAAAGAGGAACAAAGCAGTGGTCTTGTTTAGAAGGAAATCAAAATGGGTCACATTCATTTCACTGATTTTATTTTATGTATGTAGGAGTACCTGGAAGGTACCTAAAAGAAATAAATATAGATAAGATGAAATTGCACCAGTGTTGAGTGCCTATAAATACGGGGTGCATTTCTGTGTAAGGGAATATGGCCATCATACAATGAGACAGAATTTAAATAGACAATATTGCAGTCTGTGTTATGTGGAACTTCTCTACGTTGACAAACATTGGCTATTTTAAGTGGTTGGATGGTCAGCTTCGTGCTTCAGCAGACTTTATTAATTCACTCTGAGTGAAAGAGCCCCATGTACTTATTTAACAGGAAGGTTTGTAGGATCATAACCTCTTCTGAACATCGTGGTAATTGTCACAGCATCACTTTAATTTCTTGGGTCACAACTTTGTGAATTTGGACACCATGTTCTTAATCACACAGTGTAATATGGGACATTTTTGCCACTAAAAACAGGTGAAAAAACAGTAGGGGAAATGCAGGAACAGGTCTGCTTTTTTGTGTGTTTCCAGTGCAGCCAAATGCTGTTTTTCATACATTAACTTTGAAATCTGTGCAGATCGGTTAGCAACTAAAACATTTAACCTAACTGTGTTAAGCTTGTACAGAGCTCCTTCAGGAGATGTTAGTGAATTTCTAAGGATACTGGATGCAACGTTAAAATATCTGTACGATCCAAAATCTGAGCTTATAATCTGTGGAGATATAAACATAAATTAATGAATTAAAATAACCATGAAAAACAAGTAAACTATTTATTAAAGACATACACTTTGTCACACTGTGAATTTTGCAGCAGGAATTTAAAAATTCCCCAAGTACAGCCATGGATAATATTTTTATAGATAGTGCAAGGTTAAGCTATTCTTGTACATCTCCTATAGTCAATGGCCCCTCAGACCACAGTGCTCCTTTCCTTACAGTAAATAATATTACTACAAAAGTAAATGTAATACCCCAGAAACAGAAACAAAAAATAAATAATGAAATCCTTGCTCAGATTAAGTATGTATTAGAAAACGAAACATGGGAACCTATTTTCAAAAATAATGATACAAACTATAAGTTTAACTTTTCTATATATTTTTCTAAATATCTTTGAAGCTATAAAGAAGGTCGTCTTCTGGGTTTTGACGGACGTTTCAGAGGAACGTATTGCCTTCATCTTCAGAGCAGGTGAATGGCTTGTGAATGCAGAGAGCAGTAGCTCTCTTTCAAGCTAGTTTTCCTATTCAGAAAAAAATGACCAGATTACGCATGGAAAAAAAATTATAGGAGAATATACATTGTTTAAATAAATATATATTACAGTGCTCTGTGGTAGATGTGTTCAATCTGATCATATCTTGTTAATACACCCATGTCCAGAAACTTTTGGCACTAAGGGTCACAAAATATTCCAAGAGAATGCATAAGTTTTAAGGGATGTTATCGTTGTTTTGCTTATAAAAGTTGCTCAAGATGGCGGCCACCGACTTCACTGCATGTTCTGCGCTGCCTGGCTATGTTATGCTGAAATCTTTGAAAGATTCCCAGCATTTTCTGGATGGCTCCAGCTGCTACTGCAATTCTTGCCTCAAGATCAGGTTGTGTCTCAACTGGAGTCTCGTATGCCAGGCCTTGCATATATCCCAGAGAATGAAATCCAATGGAGTCAAGTCAGGGGAGCAAGGGGGCCAGGTTATTGGACCTCCACAACCAATCCTTTTGTTGCCAAAGGTTTCATCCAACTACTCTGTGGACAACATTAGTGCAGTGTGACAGGGCGCCATCATGCTGGAATCACATTTCATGATGGACTTACAAAGGCACCGCTTCTAGCAGTTCGGGTAAGGTCTCTTGGAGAAATGTTAGGTAAATGTCACCAGTAAGAGGTAAGAGGTAAGGTCGGCGTCCTTCATATTTCTGAGGCCCTAACATGTAAACAAAGCGTTTCCCAACGTGGGTGTATTAACAAAATATGATCACATTGAACCCATCTATCTACCATAGAGCGCTGTAACATATATTTGTTTACACTCTGTGTATAGCACGGGTAGTTATAGTCCACACATGATAGCATATTACATTAAGTATTGTAAAATCCTGAGCAGAGTTTTATAAGAGGCTAAAAAGCAACATTGCTGTAGGCTTATGGCAAAATCAGATAATCAGACAAAAGCAACCTGGAATATAATAAAACGTGAAACAGGAAAATTACATCTGACAGAACAGATACCATCTTTTCTTATAAATGATAAAGAAGTAAAGGACCCAGAAGTAACTACTGATGCCTCCAATACTTTTTTCTGACAATTACTGAAAATCTAAACTTGCATGAGGACATGAGTGGTGATGCCATTTCATTTTTAAAAGAGGGCATTTCCTAGAAAATTCCCTGGTATTAAGGCCATTCCAACCACTGAAACTGAGATAAAAAGTATAATACATTCCCTCAAAGCAAAGAATTTGACAGGTTATGATCGAATAAGGAGTAAAATTTTAAAAGTTTGGCATCTCTGCTCAGTCACCCATTAAGTCACATATGAAATCACTCACTATTCATGTGGATCTTGCCAGATTGTCTTTAAGATTTCAGTAGTAAGACTACTGTAAAAAAAAAGGGGACAAAACTAGTATGTCAAACTACAGGTCAGTTTCACTGTTAACTGCTTTCTCTAAAGTGCTTGAGAAAGTTATGGATGATAGTGTAACAGATTTGATTAACACGTTTCCAGGCAGCAGCTCAGTAAACGTGGTACATTATGCAACAGTAGAGAAAGCTGTGTTTTCTGTTGTCCGTGCCAAGCAACAATAGGAATAGGTTGTCTATAACCAGTTGCTAGATTATGCAATGCCTCGGCAAACGGACTTTCATGCAGGTGCAGTGACGTCACAATCCAACAGTACTAGTTATCATGTGAATTGTTTTTGGTGTTGTCCATGGAGCGCCTATATAGTGAAGACCTGTTTAAATTTAAGTTAGAAGAAAGCCCAGACAGTTTAGCAATTGAGAGCACAAGGATGAGAATGGAGCATGAATTGTGAAGATTGAGTACAGAACAGGACAGTGGAGTACAGAGTGATTGAATATGAAGATGATTTCATGTTGGTTTGAAGTGATAGTATCTGTGTTGAGATCCATTTCTAGGAGACAACTAGTGGAAACAGAGAATTCTAGTGCATGTGCAACGGTGAACTGGAAAGTGTGTAAATCAGTGATAGGGCATTATTGCCTGTAGTAAGTGTAACTAAGGAAGGTTGTGACCAAAGTGCTAATAAATACAATCATCCAAACTAGAACCCGTTATTTCATCACATGTACCACCCTACACGTGACAGTAGGTTAAGCCATTATCTGCAGACTAATATACTAGTCCCAGAACAGTTCAGCTTCAGGAAAGGAATGAAAATGCAGCCTTTAATGTAACAGACAGTGTTTTAAAATCTGTTTAATAAAAAAATGCATGTTGGTGGAATAGTCTGATTGGCCAAAGCTTTTGACTCTAAATTATGAGATTTTATTGATGAAATTACATTTTTTGACATTCAAGGAGAAATAGCATGTTGGTTCAGACCCTACCTAACAGATAGAAAACAAAAGATTGAAATAAAATAAAATTGAACCCAGAGTACCTACTCAAACTGGTGAAAAATAAAGCATGGAGTTCCCCTGGGGTCAAATTTAGGGCCTTTGTTTTTCCTGCTCTATATGAATGAACTCCTTCATACACTAAACACCTCATCAGTACCAATAATATTTGCTGATGATGCTAGTGTTATAATTTCTAATAAAAATTTAGATTATTTCTGCATACTATCAAACAAAGAGTTCTTAAAATAAGAAAATGGTTTTCTGCAAACAGGCTGTCCCTGAATCTATATGAAACAAATGTAAAAATGTAAACAAAAACTCACCACAGTATCCATTAAACATTGAATATAATGATAAATAGAAGAGGCAGTAACTGCAACATTCCTTGGCTTACAAATTGCTAATCATTTAAACTGGAAAAACCATGAAGATCAGTTGGTTCCAAAGCTAAGGGGAGCATATCAGCAACAGTGACACTCTCAGATCAATTTGTTTTGTGCTACTATCACGGAATGTGATGGAAATCAACTGTCAAAAGAGTTTTCGTGATTCTTGTGTTTGAAATTATATCCCATAAATTTACAGATCTCCCACTGATTTCATGCCCTTGTCCAGATGGAGTTGTTTCCTTACCAGTGTATAATCTCAGAATTATAAACAGTGCTACTAAATACTTTTTATAGGATTCATTTCCCCATGTACTAATCCATATAAAATCAAATGCAAATTATCCAAGTTGTATCTACTTTGTTGCATATATTGACTGTGTGTTACTGAGACTTCAATGTGTTGGTTGCACAAGACCATAATCACGGAATATACCTTAGTAAAATAAAACTTTACGATTAATATATGTAAAACATTAAAATATCTGGCGTATGAGCCCCCCTTAGCTGGTCTTATGAACAGTGTGATGATGTAGGTTATATTAAGTGCTGTAGAGTTGACCACATTGTTTTATTATTATTTATGAACACGAAACTCTCTGGCCATGGCATGGTACCTTGTTGAAGTGTTGAACTGTTCAGTAAAAACTTTTATTATGTGTTTACAAAGATGCCACGTCAGTCTGGATCCCTTTACATTTGACCAGACACTTTACTCACAGTTCTTATCTTGATCTTTGCTGCATCAGAAATATTGAAGCTTTGTAGTCTGCAGTTGTGAGGTTATTTGTTGTTAGTCTACAATATGCAAGAGTGTATTTCACCCCTCTGTATAAACTACTTTGAATGGCGTTTAGATGTATTTATTGATGATATTAATGCACTCTGTGGAACAACAAAGGCCTTTTTTTCCTATGTGAATATGTAACTTGTTTGTTGATAAAGCTGCATAGAGGTTTTGGCTTAGACAAAAGACTTTAGTCCACATCTTATTAGGTGTCTGGTATTAGCACAGTGGCATGGTTTCATCCGTCGCAGACCTAAACTACAGACTTCGTTATCGTTTATGCCTGTAGCTAATGCCATGCTTATGACCCTGCATGATTGTTCTGGTTCCACGAGTCGTCATTGCATATGATTATTTTAATGAAATGGTTTGGCATAAAATGATGAGAAACTAGATCAAATGAAAACACTTCGTATTACCACATGCGGACGTGAACTTTATCCTGGCTCGCCCAACTCGTTCTCACGTTGCTTTACGCAGGTTTGAAAGCACTTGAATCACGCGGCTCTAAATCTGCAAATCAAAATTCTTAACGCAAATTGTATACGTAGGTGATTGGGTATATGGTGTCCGATGGTGTCAGTGCCTGCTTCACAAGATAGCCAACGTACTGATTCCCCTTTGGCTATATTGGAGTGGAAATAATTTGCAATCCTATGTACATATTATTAAACCTGATTAGATAATATTAAAAGAACTTTACCAGTATTTATAATTCTTAAAATATTGTAACTTCTTCAAGAACAACTTCTATTTCAAATATTCAGGTTGGTCATTCTGCGTAGTATAAATTGTATTGTATGAAGTTCGTACAATAAATTTGTGGACGCCGAATTTTTTGTAAGCAATTTTTGTTACCATCCACTATCTTTTATCTTAAGTGTAACTATGAATGCAACCAGTCTTTATGTGTCAACATGTAGGCTAGTATTACAAGCTGACATAGAAGATAATTCTTCATGGACAGATTTATATCGCTTAGTACCGTATCTGAGACAGTCTCTTTCTTGTACTGTTTGTGGAAATTTACTAATAGAGCCGTATACTCCGACAGAGACAAATTGCCAGCATCATGTGTGTAGGTCGTGTAAAGGAGGAAGAAAAAAGCTTAAACCCTCCTGTAGTTGGTGTAAAAATTATGATAAATATGTTGAAAATGTTCAGTTACGAATTTTGCTGCAGTGTTATAAAAAGCTGTGTGAGTATGTAACCAGCACTTCGATTTATAGGAGTCTTTTAGTGTCAGCAGCAACTGCTGCTAGTAATGGAAATAACGCAGCTGGTACATCAAGTCTTATGGATCTTATTCAAGAAGGTGCCGGTTTTAAAGATGAGTACAAAAGTACAGGTGGCCTGTCAAAATCTGCATATAGTATTTTACCTTGTGTTTATACTAGTACATCAACGCAGACACAAACCGCTTTAGCATCAGCAGCCTTGAGTCCTACAGATCCCAATAATGGCTTATGTGCAACTGATCTACAAGCACTTCGCACTGTGTCTAATGGTTCATCACTGTATTCTGTTATGTATGCTGGAAGTGGAAACAAGATTACAATAAAACGGAAAGCCACTGATTTGGAAGGTGAAGCAGATGCTAGCAGTTGTAGTGGAGAAGGAGCAATTCCACCAGTAAGTATTAGTTTAGAGGATGTGGTTGTAATGTTTTTTATTATTATACTTACATAATCATATTTATGCAGGTGATTTTGAAGTTAATTATAATTTCAGAAGTTAAGATTATGTTACAGTCCTCCATCATATTACAGTCAGAATGAATACAGGAATGCTGAAAGTATCTATAGTAGAGATGAACAAACTCACATATTTCCCCCCTCACTCTTGTGTACCCTTCATTCCACTTACTCTACCCACACTCTTCCATACTTGTGACTGGATTAGTCATTTTACAGCATTTAGTGAGGGGCACCAGTGGGCAGGCCCTCTCCTGTTTGTAACTATAATATTATTATGAAGAGCTCTGTCTTTTGGGATATAATGCTATGTAGTCCATTGAAAGTCAACAGACAAGCCAAGCTTTCTTATTGTTCAGCTCTGAGGATGGAGGTGACATGTTTCTCTGAAACATCGGTTGACTTCCAGCAGATTACATGGCATTATATCCCAGAAGATAGAACTCTTCATAACCACAATTGAAAAAATGTCAAATCCTACATTTTATACTACTGCCCATGATAATTCTTTGGTTGGCTTATCTATAGTCTTAAAGAAAGTAAATGAAATTAAATAAGCTGCCATAACTAACCTAATGTTTCATTATTGGTGGATTAAGTGTTCAAGATCATACCCCTCCCCAGAAGAATCACTAGTTTTGTGGGATCAAAAACTATCATAGTAGCTTTTGTGCATTATTAGCACTCTAGACTAAGCGGGATACTTGGAGAGGTGACTGGAAACTGTTATGCTGGAAATATATGTGGCCCATAGCATCATATGAACTTTACTTGTAACTGGTATTAGCTACTGGATTTTTTATAGGATCATCCATTGGACAAGAATATACAAACAAGTTCTTACATTGTTGACAACACTCTACTGGAAAATCAGGTGTGTGAAATTTATTGGGATATAAATATTATGTTTATAATTCTATACAACAGCATTGGATGAACTGGTTGCACTTATCCACCTTCCATACACAACACACCAATGATGTTTTTCAGTTGTGTAATTGTGTACTAATTGAGATAATGGTAACCTTGATGTTAATTAATAAATAATTACACAGTCAGCCATCACAGTGTTTTATATTGTCACGTGATTGACTGTGACTATAGATGGGTTTTGGATTGATATCCAGATTTCTTGAACTATCTGATACAGCACAGGACTACTTACTTACTCATGGAGCTGAGCCCTTCTGGAGGAGCCGCCAATTCTGCAGCTACTCAAGAATTTCCCAGTATTTTATGGAACCCGAAGGCTCATTACCATGTTCACAAGAGCCCTCCACTGGTCCCTATCCTGAGCCAGATAAATCCAATCCATACCATCCCATCCTACCTATCTAAGATCCATTTTATTTGTATTTAATTTATTCATTATTATTATTATTATTATTATTATTATTATTATTATTATTATTATTATTATTATTATTGTCCACCCACCTGTGCCTTGGTGCTCCCAATGGTCTCTTTCCTTCTGGCTTTCCCACCAATATCCTATATGCATTCCTCATCTCCCCCATTTGTGCAACGTGCCCTGTCCACCTCATCCTCCTTGACTTGATCATCCTAATTATACTTGGAGAAGAGTTATAAGTTATGAAGCTCCTCATTATGCAGTTTTCTCAAACCTCCTGTCACTTCATCTCTCTTTGGTCCAAATATTCTGCTCAACACCCAGTTCTCAAACACCTTCAGTTTATGTTTCTCCCTTAATGTCAGAGACCAAGTTGCACACACACACAGAACCACAGGCAAAATTAAGTTTTGTATATTCTAATTTTTATGTTTTTGGACAACAGACGAGAAGACAAAAGGTTCTGGACTGAATGGTAGCAAGCATTACCCAAGTTCAATCGCCTCTTAATTTCCTCTTGAATCAGGTTTCGATCTGTTATTGTTGTTCCCAAATATATGAACTGTGCCACATTTTCAAAACATTTGTTTCCTTTCTTTATGTCATGATTTTGCCCTGCATTTTGGTGACGAGACAGTAACATATACTTAGTTTTCTCTGTGTTTACTTCTAGACCAACCTCTTTACTAGCATCAGTTATAGTTTGTGTGTTTTTCTTTGTGTTATCTATATTATCACCCAGTAGATTCACATCATTAACATAGACCAACAGCTGATGTGTCCCGTTTAATTTCAGTCCCACCTGGTTTTCCTGGACCTTCATAATGGCATGTTCTAAAACAAAGTTGAAAAGGAGTGGCGATAAAGCATCTCCTTGTTTTAGACCATTCTGGATAGGAAATTTATCAGACAAAAGTTTACCTACACGGACTTTACTATACATTTCGTTTAAACACATTTTAATCAACCTAACTAGTTTCATGGGTATCCCAAACTCTATCAGAATATTGTACAATACATCCCTCCTAACTGACTCATAGGCTTTCTTGAAGTCTATGAATAGCTGATGTCCTGTCTCATCGTACTCCCATTTTTTCTCCAGTATCTGACAAGTGCAAAAGATCTGATCTGTAGTTGATCTGTTACATCGAAACCCACACTGATGATCCCCAATAATTTCATCTATATGTGGACTTAACCTTGAAAGAAGAAGAAGTTGATAGCAGTGATATCCCCCTATAATTACTACAGTCAGTTTTATCACCCTTCTTGTGAACTGGTACAGTAATAGACTCCTTCCACTGATCAGGCAATTTTTCCTTATGCCAAATAGAGGTAATTAGATTGTGGATCTTAGAATGTAATATTTCACCTCCTGCTTGAAGAAGTTCGGCCAGAATTTGATCACTACCTGGCGATTTAACCGTTTCAATTTTGCAATAGCACTTTCAACCTCAAAAGGGCAAGGATCAGGTATTAACGGCTCAGCTGTATGGATTTCTGACTGCCTAACATTACTGACCCTATGTAAATTAAAAAACTGAGAGAAGTAGTTCCTCCACCTATTCAAAATGTTGTGGAAATCTGCAAGCAGATCACCATTCTCATCCTTTACTAAGTTACTGCTAGGTTGGTAACCCCTCTTAAAGTAATTTATTCCTCTATAGAGGTCTCTAATGTACTTGTTCTTACTGTTCATTGCAAGTTCATCAATTTTGTCTTTCATATATTCCCTCTTTTTATTCCTGAAATGCCGGCTGATTTCATGTCTTATACTGTTCAGTTCATCCCCATTCATTTTTTTTTTTGGATCCTGTAACCATTGGAATTTGGCTTGTTTTCTTTGGTCTTATAATTTTGAGCATCCTTCATCGAACCATGGCTTATGCTTCTTCAGTTCATAATAACCTAGACTGTCCTTGGCAGAAATTTTTATATTCTCTCTAATGGTTTCCCAAGTTTTATTGACATCCACTTCAATGTTCAAGTTTTCCAAAGCTGTGAACCTATTTGAAATTTCAACACAATACTGCTCTTTACCCTCTACCTCATTTAATTTCTTGAGATTGAATCTCTCCATATGAACTCTTCGCGTTGTTTGTTTGCTCACTGCCAGTCTTTCCCTAAACTTTGCCACCACCAGGTAGTGGTTGGTATCACCATCTGCTGCCCAGAATGAGAGGACATCAAGTATATTTGAATGCCGTCTCCTATCTATCAAAATATGGTTGATTTTATTGTGTATCTTCCCATCAGGAGATGTCCAAGTAAATTTATGGATGTTACGATGTGGGATCATTGTACTTCTGACAGTAAAATTTTTTGATGTAGCAAAGTTTACTGCTCTAACTCCATTATCATTACTAATTTCATGCAAACCCTCATTCCCAATCATTGGTTTGAAAATGTGTTCCCTCCCTACTTTGGCATTGAAATCTCCTAACAAAATTTTCATAGGGTACTTCGGGAATTTATGAAATACATGTTCTAGTTCTTCATAGAACCTGCCCTTTATTTCATCAATTTTATCTTCTGTTGGGGCGTGAACATTCATAACGATGATATCACACCAGTGACTTTTTAATATTATATATGATGTCCTATCACTAATGAACTGTACCCTCTTAACTGCTGATACAATTCTCTTATGTATGAAGAAACCTGTACCTAAGTCATGATTTTCATTCCCTAGTCCATAGAAAAATATATATTCGCCTGTTGGTTCCTCACCACCTCCGTCCCATCTGACCTCCTGTACTTCCGCACATGAGTACACAGTTCACTATTACACACACACACACTAGTGTCCACAGTCACGCCTTCAGTTTCATTGCTTGGTAACGGCTTCCAACGGTGGACGTTCCTCTCCCTCAGGGTTCCTGAATTGTCCCCAGCGTCAGCCACCGGCTTCTGACAATAACAGCTCACAACAACTGAGTCCCAGCAGTTCAAGAATAGAATAGTTGAAGTCAAAGCTCATGCCAGCTCAGTCATATATACTGCTTATGACCAGTAGTGGCAATTTTGCTTCATGAGTTTTAATACAGTTTTTGTAATGGCCATTATGCTGCCTTCTTGTGGCTCAACCCCATTCAACTATGTCATGGTATGCTGAAATATTGTTGTAACTACTTTGAGCAAGTTCAGAGATGAACTGTTTGCATTAGAAGCCTGAACTGACTGACTTGGTACTTTTTGGGTGTGCCTCAAAGGAGGAGGCCACTCATTTTTCCCACTGTGATGGCGAAGGTCTGTACAACTGTGGGCAGTTGAGGCTACTGCTGTTACTGTGTGTTGCTGCATAGTACTGTTGCAAAGGATAGTCCTGGGGTGTCAGAGTCAGAGTTACTCTATGACTGGCGGTTTACCACCAATCAGTTTGTCTTGGTGCCAAGCCCCTTGAGACCCATGGCTGATATTTTTTTTTACTGAAAACTTTCGGTTAATAGTCCTTATGTAACATCATCTCTGACGAGAGGATGGATCTGTTATTTACAGTTGCTTCTGGCCCTCACCAGTACAGTCATTCTCGGGTCTGAGTCCCATGGGACTCATGACCGTATTTTACTGTCCTAGATTCGAGACACCTCCAATGTTGAGGGCCAGGTCCCCATATTTATATCCCTCAGGAACAGGGTGGCCCAGTTATACCCCAAAGCACTGGGTTTCCTTTTCATTGCCTCCCACAATTTGCAGGGCTACGGTGGAAGTATTTGAACCCGCCTTCACATGGGGCAGTCGTGGGGTGTCAAAGTCAAAGTCACATTGTGACTGATGATCAGTCAGTCAGCCTTTGAGACTTCCCTTCTTTGTTGTTGTTCAAGTCAAAGTTACATTAAGACTGATGGTCAGTCATTCAGTCAATCTTGGTCCCAAGCCCAATCTGGGGCTTATCACCAGATATTTATTACTGAGTCATGGGGTGGTCTAGCTGGTCCTGCTTATAATATCTCAACACAGACCATATAGAAAACATCTTCTCCCACAGTTACTCCATTGTTGCATTTGTGTCTGTTGGGGTGACTGGGCAGTTGTCGTTGTTTGCATAGCCATTCCCTAGCAATGGCTGTCTTTGCTGGCTTCATGACTCTGTTTTGAGCAGATATGCCACAATATGAAAGACAGATAGGTGCAGCCAATCAAGTAATAGGTTTCTGAATGGGCTGGGATGATGACTTCAATTTCTATTCATCATCTTTCTCCATGAACTTTATAAGACTGGCACCAGAACTTGGATATTTGATTGACAGAATTGGTTATGTTAAAATTTTCTGTTTCTTCCATTTAAATTGTAACTTGATGAAAATCATATAGATGAAGCGTGATGCTTTCAGCTAGCATGTTGGTTTCTTCTTTGGAGCCCAGGATATATCAACTGGGGTTCTTTAATATTTTGTGATGTTGCTGGAACGGTACTTGTTAAAAATTATGCTTTTTTAATTTTAAATTAAAACAGTACAATTGAGAATCAGCCTGACTTTACGTTGAGATATTTGGCCAGTGGTGACTTATTCACGAGCATG